GTGCCCGGAGGGAGAGCATCAGTCTGTTTCCCCCCACGTTTCTTCTTAGGAGTTCTCCCTATCTTGCGCTGCAACTCGCCTTGGGAAGGACGTTTGAAATTCGCATTTCCCGACCCTGGAGGATGCGTGATCTCCCTTGATTCTACCTGCTGGCTCCCCTGAGTCACCACCCCGGTACTCCCTTGGCACGACTTCCGCAATTCAAAAAGTTCATTACGTAATACCACTATAGCTGTTTCCAAGTTCGCTATTCTAGATATAAGCGTCCGCAACACCCCCTCGTCCACCCTGGCATTGCCCGATGCCTGCTTACTCTGTGTTTGTCGTACTCTTTCTCTGTCTCCCGCCTGGGATCCAGATATTACTCTGGCTGCCTGAGCATATGTTTTTGGGGATTGGGAAGTCTTCTCCAATTTACCCCTCGCTTCCATGTGAGAGCACCTGTGTAGCGTACGCAGTTTTAATATCCGCGCCTCCCGTTGATATTCTGGACAGTGCGCTGAGTCTGCTGTGTGTTCTCCTCCACACCTTGCACACCTTATATTGTCCGCCTCGCAATCCGTCGCGTCATGATCTCGTCCGCATTTCAGGCATTTCCGACTGCCTCTACAATTTGCCTGCCCGTGACCGTAATTTAGACACCGCAAACACAGCCGAGGACGGGGGTAGAAACGTTCGCATCGAAACCGTTGATAATATAATTTTACAAACGCCAGCGGAGTGACACTGGCCACCGACAGATAAACAGTAGTACTAGGCGCCATGACACCCTCCACCTTCCGAGTAAACCGCCGAACCTCGAGAATTGGAACTCCGGCCTCAAGTAAATCGTGGATTTCCTTAGCAGATATTGTCGTATCCACTCCCCGAATAACGTAGCCTGTAGATACGCAGTCTTGGGCCAGCCGACCGTAAACCGGCGTGTCCCCCAAAGACGTAACCCCAAGGGCCGTAGCCGCTACGTCCGGATCTAATGTTTTTAGTAAAAGGAGACCATTACGCGTATAACGCACGTCCAGTATCTTCTCCGGATTAGGGAAATACTCCCGCAAAACCGCATGCAACTCAGGTGGACGCAGACGGCGGAGGGGATGGTCCCCTTTCCAGAATATGGAGTAAGTATGTTCCTCCGTAAGACTTTGCCGTATCCAACCAAGTTTTGTGACTTCTGTCACCGGAGACATAAACCGAAGCAGCGAAGGTTGCAACTCCGATTCCACCCCCATGTCCATAGACCCAGACCGTTCAGGCCGGGGCGAAGACGCCCCGACTCCCGAATATCCCGCCACCACTTGAAGACACTCAAACTACACTCCTACCTGATACGCCTGTCCCACGAAATCCCGTTCCAAAGACAGAAAATACCTCTGAACAACCCAAACAACTCCAAAACCAAGGACTAGGGAGGCAGATAACTCCGTACACTATCTCACAAGCCTTCTCTTCCAATTACAAAACTTTCACTCCGGTTGATAAACTTTCCCCTCACCAAGCGTACTCCACAGCACTTAACTATATCGATCGTTAGTTACAACACCTCGTCGATAAAAGCAATTTCCACAACACCACCCCTAGTCTAGGGTCTATTCATATTCGTTTGTTCGGCAAGCCAGTAAGAAACGTAGACTTCTCTAAATCTATTCCNTAGGTGGTGATTCACACAGCCGACCCCACCACTCCCTGCGAGCCTGCCTAGATTTCCAACGTAATAGAGCTCCCAGCTGTTTATACCTAAACCACCAACCTAACGACCCCCACTGCCTAGCCCTACGGAAGGCCCGTCGCTTCTTCGCCCGAATCAGACTGCATTCCTCCGTCCACCATGGGGGAGCCCCCCTGGGGGGAATCCTCTGATACCTGGTAAACTCCTTACACACCATCTGAAGAGTGCCCAAGAAGGCAGAATATTCTCTCGGACGGGAAGCCTCCTGTTCCCAAGCTGTAGCTATGCAATCCCGAACACGACCCCAGTCCGTATTTAAACGGAACCTTGGCGTCACGCCCTCCACTCCCCTTGGTAAAAGAGACACCTTCAACTGGATCGGAGCGTGGTCGCTGGTAACAGTGTCCGTACCAGGTCTCCACGTTGCCAACCCCAACAGATCGGGGGTACACAGAGTTAAATCAATCGCCGAGGACCCTGACCTGTGGAAAAAGGTAGGTTCACCCGTATTCCAACAACACCACCCGTTTGACAATATCCAATCAAACAGAGCCCTGCCCGCTGCGTCCGGGCGAGTACAACCGTAGTCCCAATAGGGATGGTGAGCGTTCCAATCGCCCGCAATAATACGGGAATTGGACGGAGCCAACCTCCAGCCCTCAAGTTGCTCTCGATCCTGAATCCCCGTTGGGGCATAGACATTAACCAATGATAAGGAGAAATCCCCGATGAAAACTCTCACCTCCAGAGTTTCCAACCCTCGCACACCAAGGCCCGGCGATTGGAGCACGACCGGCCATTTGTCAGCCACCGCCGTCAACAGCCCTCCCCCCGGTCCTGTAGACCGATCAGAACGAAAAATAGTAAACCCCGGTAGGGTAAAAGACTGTCCTCCCGTTAACCACGTTTCCTGGATCATGAGCACATCCACCGTTTGAAACCACTGCTCCGTTAGAAGGAGGTCTCTTTTTGCCCGTAGTCCGTGCGCATTCCAGTGAACAATCGTAAAATCCCGCCTCTCCCGCCGATTGTCAGACATTTGGGATAGAGGTAAGAGATGGACGCCGACGGAGTTTTGCCAACTCCGCTGGTGATGCTACGCAGTGATCATCTATAATTTCCGTTCTACCCGACCTGTCGCCGATTTCCATGTCAGATACGAGACCCTCGGATTCCGAGGTGCCCGGAGGGAGAGCATCAGTCTGTTTCCCCCCACGTTTCTTCTTAGGAGTTCTCCCTATCTTGCGCTGCAACTCGCCTTGGGAAGGACGTTTGAAATTCGCATTTCCCGACCCTGGAGGATGCGTGATCTCCCTTGAGTCTACCTGCTGGCTCCCCTGAGTCACCACGCAGGTACTCCCTTGGCACGACTTCCGCAATTCAACAAGTTCATTACGTAATACCACTATAGCGGTTTCCAAGTTCGCTATTCTAGATATAAGCGTCTGCAACACCCCCTCGTCCACCCTGGCATTGCCCGATGCCTGCTTACTCTGTGTTTGTCGTACTCTTTCTCTGTCTCCCGCCTGGGATCCAGATATTACTCTGGCTGCCTGAGCATATGTTTTTGGGGATTGGGAAGTCTTCTCCAATTTACCCCTCGCTTCCATGTGAGAGCACCTGTGTAACGTACGCAGTTTCAATATCCGCGCCTCCCGTTGATATTCTGGACAATGCGCAGAGTCCGCTGTGTGTTCTCCTCCACACCTAGCACACCTTATATTGTCCGCCTCGCAATCCGTCGCGTCATGATCTCGTCCGCACTTCAGGCATTTCCGACTGCCTCTACAATTTGTCTGCCCGTGACCGTAATTTAGACACCGCAAACACAGCCGAGGACGGGGGTAGAAACGTTCGCATCGAAACCGTTGATAATATAATTTTACAAACGCCAGCGGAGTGACACTGGCCACCGACAGATAAACAGTAGTACTAGGCGCCATGACACCCTCCACCTTCCGAGTAAACCGCCGAACCTCGAGAATTGGAACTCCGGCCTCAAGTAAATCGTGGATTTCCTTAGCAGATATTGTCGTATCCACTCCCCGAATAACGTAGCCTGTAGATACGCAGTCTTGGGCCAGCCGACCGTAAACCGGCGTGTCCCCCAAAGACGTAACCCCAAGGGCCGTAGCCGCTACGTCCGGATCTAATGTTTTTAGTAAAAGGAGACCATTACGCGTATAACGCACGTCCAGTATCTTCTCCGGATTAGGGAAATACTCCCGCAAAACCGCATGCAACTCAGGTGGACGCAGACGGCGGAGGGGATGGTCCCCTTTCCAGAATATGGAGTAAGTATGTTCCTCCGTAAGACTTTGCCGTATCCAACCAAGTTTTGTGACTTCTGTCACCGGAGACATAAACCGAAGCAGCGAAGGTTGCAACTCCGATTCCACCCCCATGTCCATAGACCCAGACCGTTCAGGCCGGGGCGAAGACGCCCCGACTTCCGAATATCCCGCCACCACTTAAAGACACTCAAACTACACTCCTACCTGATACGCCTGTCCCACGAAATCCCGTTCCAAAGACAGAAAATACCTCTGAACAACCCAAACAACTCCAAAACCAAAGACTAGGGAGGCAGATAACTCCGTACACTGTCTCACAAGCCTTCTCTTCCAATTGTGTTAATGGCTCCTAATCTCCATTCCGAAGACTATTCGTCGTTCATCTCATCCACTTCTGCGCGCCTCATCCGGCTTCACTTGACGTTCGGTTTTTATACTGTGAGGTGACGTCACAATTCTGAATGAGATCACTCCCCTCATTTACATACTTATTCGC